CCTTCCCGGGAGGAAACGTATAGCACATATATATGTTATTGGCCGGCTGGGAGGTCCGTATAAGGAAAAACTGTGGCCGTGGTCGCAGGCCGAGGGAAGCATTTTTAAGCCCAACGTCACAGTTTTTCACTATACGGACCGACCATAAGTCGGCCAATAACATGTTTAACTTTTATCCTGTGGTAAATTGCCTTAAAAGTGGGTTTGTTTACCCAACTTTATCACTGAATTGGTTTACGAGCCGTCTACAAACCATTCGTAAAAAATCTAACGAACGAACGAGTGAGTAATTCAGATACTAGACAAAGAGAGATGTATTAAAGAACAGATTTATTTCCAACTACTTTATGTTAGTTACATTTAGTTACCAGTTGAGTTCTTCAAAATTGTTTTTCCGGTGTGAAAATTTGTGCAAAGTTTGAAATTATACTACAAAAACAATTTTTGTCAGTCGTTGCGAATCAATCGTAATCAGACTTTTCTACCGTAAATTGAGTAGCAAATAGCGAGGAAATTCGTTAAGTGTATTCCACAGAAATTCTCTCAAACACAGCAACGACCAGAGAGGTAAACTCGCCTGAAATTGACTCATTTTTACTTAAAATTGTACACACAAAGCTGGATTACGCGCCATTACAGCGCCGAGCTACAAAGAATCAAACAAACTCTCACAACTTCTAAACTCTCAACTGAATTTACTTACAGTGACTGTCCTTGCCATTTAAAGGTGAATGGACATAAGCTTGCGTTGATTAATCGTCTATGGAAGTGTAAAAAGAGCGAAAGATTGACGATTACCGCTACTTCGTTCACGAAAATATATCAACAGGACAAATTCCGCCCGCTGTGACGATGCGGATAACAAAATTCCGCCCGCTCCAGGAATATATCAGGTTGCAGGATTTGTTGAATTCCGCCCGCTCACAAGCTGAGAAAAAGATAATGTTCAGTATTGGCGAGTAACCTAAGGAGACATACAAATATTTGTATGAAAGGAAAAACAGCAGTTAAGAGAAGCCGTTTATCCTTGGCAACTTAATAATTAAATAAGATTTTTTTTCCTTCAGGCGACAAATTACGCGTACAAATCATAGGTTTTTGACTTGGTTATTGCATCGAGAAATTTCGCCTCATTTCACCCAAAGCTAGGTTCCCCATATTGCATTTCAGTGATAATAGTATTATAACCATGTGCTCGACTAGTCGGCCATGTTGATATCATTAAAATACTTTATTAGTGAGATTCTTTCAAAGTTATTACATTGTGTCAGAACTTTGGAACCCAAATTTTCATTGTTCCAGCCTGGTCGCTCTTCACTGACTTTTTTTCGACTCTTTTCCAGCGCTACAACCTCAGCGATCGACTCTCCAAGGCTACGAGCCTGATCGACTCCCTCTTCGACGTCATGGGTAAAGATCGACCGCCATTCGTTGCCAGCTCGGAGGATCGCCGTCGAGCCTTCAAGTTTTGGGTTAGGCTTAGGGTTAGGATGTCAAATCCAGAACTCCTCGTCGCCCCTTCAAACAGCAAGGGCTCTCAGCTTCACAGTCCCTTGCGTCTTCTACCTGCTTGTGATGCAGCCGTACGCCACATGCTGCACATCGTGACTCTCCTGCAGCCAATGATACCTGCCACAGCAAAAAAGATCACGGGTAACAAAGTTGCCGAGCATTCAATACCAATGCAGTGTCTGAGCTCGGCAAGGGCTTTGAGCCAAGCGCCGCTCACCTCATTACTCATGGGGTAGTAGAAGTTGATGTGCGTCCAGAGGCATCTTGGTAGGCCTGGATCTTAGCTCACCTCACTCGTCTGCATCAGATCCACCGTTTCCGATTTGAAGTCGACTCTGGGTTCTTTACCCCAAACAATTTCATAAGCTCTTGCGCCGATCAATTCGCTCGGCCTAGACCATCGGTCTTTTTTCAAAAAGATCTAAAGAGCAAGCTTTCTGGTTTATTATTTTATTCTCTCTTGGTTTCCTAGAATGGAAATGGTTTATCCCACCAGCAAGGATCTTTTGCCCAAATTCTGGATTTGTTCAGAATCCTTTGGGGTATCCCGTTGGACAGACCCATCACACAAGGTGAGAATAAATCTATTTTATATGTAATACTTTTTCGCGGTAGGTATTTTTGTTATTCGGTGAAAGGTTTAGAAAGTAATGTAAATTGCTTTACTTCTTTGATATATATCAGTGGCCTTCGGGTTCCTGTCGGTGTTGCTTGAAAACCAGTATTTCTCTCGTAATATTTGGTTGGTTGGTTTAAGGTGATGTGCAGCTTTGTTATATCACCGCTGTGGTTTTGTGGAAATGAAGCTGTGATATATTCGGCTATGTGCATGGACCAAACCTTCGACGGTTGTTATTTATTTAGTTAGTTAGTTTAATTTAGTTATTCTGATACTCAAAGCCGTGCCGGTACCGGTGGACATTTACTCCTTTAGTTAACATTTTAAATTACAAATGGATTCCTTTCCCATGGTAGTTTCTTGTCAAAAGCGGATCAATTAACAGGTTTTACTCGAATAGAGAGCAGCATGGCTCTCTTCATACATTGGACAATTAACTAGGTTTTCACAAAATCATCCCAGTCGCTCAGCGGCGGTAGCAGTTTTAACAACTTTGAAGCAATTGCTCTAGTTATGTAAAGCAAACGGATCGCATCCTTTGTAGCTTATTCTTTAGTATAGAGAGTACTATTATGAAAGGAAATGAACAGCACGCAGAGGTGAAGATTGGCTTGGCAACGTATCAGTCAAATACGCATTATTCGGCTATTTTACATCACAGTGAAAAAAATACATCGATTTGAAGACATCTTACTTTCAAATCAATTTATATTTGATCAGAATCGCCACGTTTCTTAGCTGTTGTATATACCACACGCCGCGTTTTTTTCTTTTGTTTATTTATTTATTTATTTATTTTTATCGAAGAGGAAATAGTTTTCAATAATACGCGAGGATATACATCGTTAAAACTAAAAGTAAGTGCAAGTGTGGCCGATCGGATATTAGAGTCAAAGGACAATCATCCCAAAAACCTG